GAGGAGGAAGGTGTGCAGTGGAAAAAGGGCAGGGGTGGGGTAGCCTAGTGGGTGACGGCACGTAGGAAAACGGCAAGGGTAGAATGTTTTTCAGAGGAGACAGAAGAGGGAGCAGTCATCGGGAAAGATAGCTGTTGCCTCTTCATTTGACGCTCTTCTGCGATGTTTCTGTTCTACTTTATTGTCTACCACTAGACCAGTGTGAAAAAAAATGTTGTTTCAGCTGACGGTCTACTAGTCTACCTCAATCCCTAACCCTGACATAAACGTTAATCCTAATCCTATCCATAATCCGTACCTTACCCAAACTCAAATTCTAGCCTTAACTTTAACCCTAACTCTAACCGCGAAACAATTTATACAGCACAGATAGGTGTTGGTCAATCAGACAGATTGTTAAGAGGACTGACACTACTAAATCAAACTATACGGCGAAATTGTGGAAAGTTCATAGGAAAAATATGGACAAATAGAATAGAAAAAAGGGGGTGAGATCACAATGTGCTGTCGATACTTTTGATTCAGAAGCAAGGAAATCGCAGAAAAGATTAATGTACTACTAGGAACAAAACACACATGTACGAGCACGAGCTAAGTCAATTTCATTTTCACAGGGGGTCGAAAGAGTTACAATTTCTGATGACAATGTAGTTATTTCATCATCGTCATCGTCATCGTCATCGTCATCGTCATCATCATCGTCATCGTCGTCGTCATCATCATCATCATCATCATCATCCAAACAATATTCATTTTTCTCGTTTTGTTATTTTCTAGGTGCAAAACAATTACTACCATGTTGACGTACGTAACCTACAAATAATATTCGGCACCAAATCATGACACGCAAAAAAAAAAAAGACCTCAACCCCTAAAAAACAAAACAAAGCAAAAAAAAAAAAAATCCCTCTTGTTTAAGGAAATCAATGTCGAGAGCTCCAGGACAATTAATTGTATATACTTAAGAGGGGGAAGCCTGGTTGTGATCGATGTTTGTGTGAGAAAGAACCACACACACACACA